TCATCTACCCATTCATTCATTCACTCACCCACTCATTCATCCATCCATCCATCTATCCATCCATCCCATTATCCATCTCTCTGCCCATCCATTTATTCACCCACCTGCCTGCCTATACATCTACCTATTTATCCATCTCTTTATCGATTCATTCAGTCATCTGCCTGTCCATCAAAACGGTGTGTGTGATATTGCGAACAACACTCTTGCTCCAGTGGTATGGAATAGGGACATTATTAGGATGTACTCAGGAATGTTAGAAGCTAATATAAATAATTATGTTATGCAGCCAAAGCACCCGGCACTGGGTTGTCGAATTTACAGACGCTCACAAGTGATAACTTGTTTTATTGGGATCTGACTGCCGCACCCAAATGCCACACCTTGAATTCTTCCTTGGGCAGAGGTTAAACATCCGGCTCAGTTTAATTATCTGGGGTTTTCCGGGGAGGGGAACGGTGATGGAGACTGGGAGAGAAGGCAGGGTCGGCTTTGGACAGTGAGAGGAGACAGGGAACCCAGTGGGAGAGGGGAGGGCCGCCTGGGACCATCCTCTCAGACAACCGAACTGTTAGAAGGGTCTTCAGCTGATCTCACTGATCTCAGTGCTCCATGCCGTGTGTCCATGAGAGAGGAGAGGCGGTGACGGCACAGGCTGGGCTTAGGGACATAGTGCTGTCCTGCTTTCCTCCACGGGGACCGGCCCCCTCTACGTCAGGATAGTACGCTGCCGGATGGGCATATTGACCTGGCTCTGTAGCCAGTTGATGTAGTCCTCCTGCGGCATATGGATGATGTGTTCTCTCACAAACTGTGGGGTAAACACAGAGTTACTCTCAGTGTCTGGTTTGAAAGCTAGGCTAGACCGCCACGCCCAGCCTCTCCTTGACATCCCAGGAGCCTTTGTAAGTGAAATCTGGGATGCCCCCGACGACCTGGACACTCATATTTAGGGTGGTGCAGAAGTCACTGAGACTTTTTGCGTGGCTGAAATGTATCATTTGATGTTGGGATACATACATAAATAAACATGGCTATGTTAAGCACGGGTTTTTAATGCACATTTCTTGATTTACATGTTTGGTGAGGACTTGTTGCCTTGATGTTTATTTTGTACTGTGGAAATTTATGTTAGTCAGAGGAACAAATTTGAGTTACTTTCTTTTTAGAAAAAAAAAATATTTTTCATTTTATATGTGTGAGTATACGTGTGGGGAGGCCGGAAAAGGGAATCAGATTCCTTGGAACTGGCATGACAGGTGGTCGTGGATGACCATATCAGGGCAGGGAACTGAGCCCAGTCCCCTTGATATCTCTGCAGCCCTCTGATGTTCTTGTTTGAATTCAGTATAGACAATGTGTTTGTCCTAGGGGCTAACGGATGTCCAGCGCAGGGTGGCTCGGGAGAGACAATGGTTCGCTGAGAGCCACCACTGGAGCTGATCCTTTTTACAAGACTCAAGAAAGCTGCTGTTTGAACTGTCAGTTTCTCTTATTGTGCCTGGTGACACCCATTTCTTGATTTGAGTTGTGACAGGGACCAAAAGGTGGACAGGGTAAGACAACCAGTGATGGCCGTCTCCGTGGCTGGACTGAAAGCGGCTCTAACACAGTTCTGGAAGCCATACTTGTACCAACACCGTCATGGCCAGTTTGTTGGGCTGCTGGTCTGATCCATCACACCAGGGAATGTCCCGGGCGATCTGGTGCCCTCTTCTGGCTTTGGTGGGCATCAAGCACGCTTGTGATCCTTGTATGTACATACAAGCAAAATACGTGTACACATAAAACAAAAATAAATCTCAGAAAGAGAGAGAAAACCACTCAGATTTGCTGTGGTGGCTCTTCTCAGTTGTCAACTTGGCTACCTCTGAAATCAACTAAACCCCAAGCCACTGGAGGTGTGTGTGTGTGTGTGAGGGGGGATTATCCACGTGAGGGAATTTTTCTTAATTAAATCGTTTGAAGTGGAAAAAAGCCACCTTTGATCTGGATCTTTTCAGGTGGGAAGATAACACCTTTGATTTGGGCCAACACCTTTCTGCTGGCAGCCTACACAGAAGACATGAAAGAAGGGAGCCCCTCTCTTTGCCGGCTTGCTCTCGCTTTGGCTGGCAAGTCCGTTCCTTCCCTGGCACCAGAGACTGCTTCTTTGAAGACCAGCTCAGACATCCAGCCTCGTGGGCTGCATAATGGTTGGTAGACAGCCATTGCTGGGGTTACAGGACATAGCAGGGCTACAGCACATAAAGCATTCTGATGAATCTCCTTTCTGTATATACATATTCACTCTAGATGGTGTTGGAGAGAGAACCCCGATGGATGCATTTGCCTTTTGTGAACAGACCAATGCTTTCAAGGTTGAGTAAAGTGGGCTGAGTTTGGAGTTCTGGAACATGGGGCTGTGGAGGTCTACAGATGTCGGGGCTGTGGAGTTTGGGGCCATGGAGCCGAAGGCTGTGTGTTCATCCAGCATATTCCTCTGACCTTCTGGCTGATGTCTGCTTCTTCAGTCACCTCAACAACCCTCTTGCTGGGAAACACTTCTGTAACCAGCTTCATGTAGACGACGCTTACCAAGAGTTCACTGGATATGAAGGCATGAGCTTTTATAGTGTTGGAAAAACCAAACATGTCTCACTGGGATTTAAAAAAAAAAGTATCGATCAGAACGGTCCTGGTTCTGGCTCACAAGCGCGTGTCTGAGTCGGAGTGATGCAGACCTCACTGTCTGAAACCTCGGTTAGTCTGCACTGACCTGTACTTTGGGCCAGACTGGTCGTTTGGGAAAAGGGCCCCGCTCCAGTTTCTTGCTTTCATTTTAAGCTAATTTTAAACTCATGCTGTTGACATTCACCCAAGAAAATTTCAGGAGAGCAAGAAAACCCAGCTAGGTACATATTTTTTTTTCTCTTTTACTTTTTAATATCTTAACAGTTCATCAGTGTGTATTCATTATATAGAGATGGGGTTATAATGGCCCAAGAAGAACATGCTCACTGACCATGTCTCTTGCTAATTCCCTCTCCTGTCCGCGCTCCCATAAGCCCTCTTAAATTTTCATGTCATGTGTGCGTGTGTGTGTGTGTCTGTGTGTATGTTTATGTGAAATCTAGGTTCTACAGAGAGAAGTTTTGGTAATCTAGCTTTTAAAGCTTAATATGACAATGCTAGTTATGTCCACTTCTCTGTAAATAGGCCGTGTCTTGCCTGGGGCCTTCACATGGGTCTTCTTCTTGTGGCTGTGTCTTGTGGCTTCTCTCCATGGTTCTGACTTCTCAATGTTCAAGTCCAAGGTTAAATCTTCCCTTTGTCAGTTGCCTTGGTTAGCTAGGTCCTCCCTGCTTTGCTTTAAACCTGGATGCATTACGGGGCATCCAATGCACCTACATCACCATCCGCCCCACACTTGCATCACCGTGCATCCAGCACACCTGGGACCTCATTGACATGCCAATTCTGTGTTGGCAAATTTGGTCTGGTGCCTGAGGCTCCACAGATCCCCCCAAGCACCCAATGAGAGCCACAGTGCCGGCCCATGAACTCACCACACGTTCGGACATTCGGTAGCATGCTTTGAGATGCTGGTTTCAAGGACAAACCCACTTACATCCCCTCCAACCTCCCTGTCTCCAGGGAGTCCCACCAACATAGACTCTAAGGACCCAAGGGCCTGAATAAAGAGTAAGAGCTCCCGGAGGGCGGGGTCTTTGTGCTCTGGGATGACTGGGTCTACCACGCTTGAGCAGTGATTGGCTGAGAACGCCCGAGGCGCTGTGGGGGAGGGGTGCTCATTACCTCAATGGCCACCGCGATGTCCGGGGAGCACAGCTCCCAGATCCGCAGGTCCTGGAGCACCTTCAGGAGGACGTGGGGCCGGATCCTCAGGTCCAGGTTCTCGCCAAACTTCTGCAGCTTCGTCAGGATCTTTTTGGCAGGCCGGAAGTTCTTCAGGTCCTCAGGGAGTTTGGACAACAGATCAAAGTACCTTCCAGCCGGAGAGGAGAGAGGCAGTTAAGGAGCCCAGGAGGGGGCCAAGTCCCTTGGTCCCTCTTCATTTTCTTTTCTACTCCTCTTGGGTTGTTATGGAGGCAGCCTGAGGCTCTACCTGGGGGACCTGTCGCCTAAACCCTGTTTCTGTAGGGTCACACAGGAGGCAAGTGTTAACTTTTAAGGGGAAGAAGGAGCTAGGCAGGGCTAGCTTCTGTTTCACGGGTTAAGGAGGAAAGGCGTGCTTTAAAAGGCTGCACTGGTAAGATAGCTTTCTATAAAGCAGCTAGTGTAGAAATCCAGAGAACAAAATGGGGGAGGGGCATTTAGGATTCCTTTCTGACTGTTAATCATGCCGGGATGGACATGGACACATCTGGGGGTGTTTTCTGGGTGACAACGGCAGCAGCAATGATGATGGTGGTGACGGTGGTGGTGATGACGGTAGTGATGGTGATGACTGTGGTGATGGAAGTGATAGCGTGTCCATTTTTTGTCGCCGTGATAATAAGCTCGGCTGACAGGCTGTGTCTCGTGCCACCGCTGGGAAGCGTTGTTGAGATGGTAGGACAGTTGGGTTCTAGCCCGTATCTGTCTAACATGCTAACCTACCTTAGCTCTAGGAGCCTGCTTTCAATGTGGTCAGGGCTTACTTGGGACAAGTGATAGATGTCACGGCCTTACAGACCGTCAGGGCCGGCAGGTACAGCGTTTGCCACCCATGCCTGATTCCCTGAGTTTGATCCCCAGAGCCCACAGAAAGGTGGAACGTGAGGAGAGAATCCACAGTTGTCCTCTTACCTTGGCGCGTGCCCCCAACTTTATCTCCCCCACTCCCAGTGCACTAATAACTCAATGATAGAGTTATGTAATTTATGATGACGAAGATGAAGAGTGCCGTCCTCCATCATGCATGGGATATGGTAGAAGGCTTTGAAGGAGACCGTCGCCCACCCAACGTTCTTGGATTCTTGTTTTCATACTTACGGAATGTACTTGTCTAACACACAGTGGGTGCTTAGCGGTTAGTATCCAGAGAACTAAGAAATGACTGGATGAGTAAGGGGCCCAGCTGAGCACCCTTTGTTGGGGGCTTCATGTGAGTTGATTTTAAACCTGCTGTGGCGGCCCCTGTTACCCAAAAGACCAACAGCTCTGTCGTTAGACGGGCTCCGAGGTCGGAAGCTCAACACTAATTCTTCACTCTAATATCTCTGAGTTCGTTTTTAACCCTTCTGCTTTCCTCCCAGACAGGGAGGGTTATGAACTAACTCCCCTTCCCAACACACACACACACACGCACGCACGCACGCACGCACGCACGCACGCACGCACGCACGCACGCACGCAGGCACGCAGGCACGCAGGCACGCAGGCACGCAGGCACGCACGCACTCATGCATATTTGGGAGCCCGTGAATCTTTGGGGATAGCTCTGCCTCATCAGATAGCAAAGCTCTGGAGGAGTGAGGCATTATGGGTAATTCCTCCACCTCTCCTATGGTTCAGGGTCGCCCTGGCAACCTCACAGCAGTGAGACCGCGGGAGGGATTCTGGGTTCACTTCCCCCTTTTGCTCCTGTTTTTCTTAGATCTTCCTTTACTCGTCCTGGCAGAATGGGGGTTGTGACATGATATGTCAGACTGACTCAATATGGCAGGCGGGTGAGCAGTTTGGGAGCAGGCAGAGGCTCACGAGCCCTGTGTCCACCACGTATAGACAAGTGTGGCCTGGGACGAGGGAATGGACTCCTTGGAGTCTCAGTTTCCTTGTGAAATAGGGGTGTCATGTGTCTCTCCCAGGACTTGGGGGATAAATATGTAACATTAAATTTTCTTAGGGTATAGCCTCTGCCACATCTGTCATTCCCTCAGTTCATGGTGATTTCTTACAGTTGGTCACTATTTCCTTTAAAAACACTCTTTGTCCTGTTTTAATTGACATAATCACTGACGTATATCTAGGACACCTGTTCGACATGTCAGGACTTTTTTGTTTTGCGACTTTGTTCTTTTAAGACAGAGCCTTACTATGTAGCCTTGGCTAGCCTGGAGCTTACCGTGTAGACCAGACGGCCTTGGACTCACAGAGATCCACTTCCCCCTGCCTTCTCGGTACTGGATTAAAGCAGTGTGGCACCATGACCAGCAAACGTCAGAACTTGCATACGATGTGTGATGTCCCAATCTGGATGCTTAGTACACTCACTAAACATTCATCCAGTGAGAACTTCTCCAGTGAGAAGACTCAGCATCCACCCTTTCAGTTATTCTGAACCGCTCAGGGCCATCACCCTGCCATGTGGCAGCCCCCAGCCTCCACTATGTGGCTGCCTGTGCTTCTGTGCACTGAGGTACAGTGTTCCTAGGGTATGTCTGCCTGTGACTGCATCCCCTGAGAGATTTCATTATTTTGTGGGGTTATGCAGTGATAACGTCACAGAACGCAGACTCTACAGACATTGCTTTGATGGACAGGTTTGGTTGCTCTTCAGTGTGTGTGTGTGTATAGGGTTGGTGCCGTGAACTCTCCTCATTTTTAAATCTGAACCAAACACAAGGTAAACTGTGAAACCCGGGACAGTTTTCATGACTTGTGGTTCTGAGGCTGATAGGTGTCCCGATGACTGTGCTTGGATCGGGAGGGTGAGGGTGAGGGGCACCCAACTGGTGGCCAACGGTAGCTGGAGGAGACATCTCATAGCCCCAGAGACCTCAGTGTCTGGTCTGCAGGGTCTTACCAGTGGTTGGCAATCTCCTCCGAATCTCCCTTCACTACCGAGACCTGGTGCCTCATCTTTGATATGTCCTTTTGGAAGTTCGAGGTGACAATAAAGGAGTGGAACTTCTGGAGGCCTCGTTCCTCCTGGCGCCTGTGAAGTCGTGTGGAAGAAGGAGAAAGCAGTCAGACACACAGATGGCCCCTCCTTCAGCCACCCGGTGGGCTCTTTCGGAAGTGGTGGATCCATCTCTCCTGCCACCGGGCTGTTGTTACATTGTAAATCATGGCCAGGCCAGGGTGGGCTCCTACAGAGGTCCCGGATCCACCTCTCCTTCCACCGGGCTGTTGTTACATTGTAAGTTACAGCCAGGCTTTCCTGACAATAGCTCCCTTCAAGGCTCTGAAATGATTTTTTGCTGCCTCTAAGAGATGACTATTAAATTCTGTGTGTGGAGCACACTGAGTGTAACTGCCAGGCGCACAGTAGGTGCTTAACTTGTGTTGGTTCTTCTCTCCTCTAGTCTTATCATTTGCACACGTGCCCTCCCTCCAAAGACAATTCACGCTTTATGTCCGTGGCTCATGCCCCCCCAACCCAGTGCCCACACTTTGCATCTTAGAAATATTCCTTGAGGTCCCACATGATACAAGGTCCTACCCTTTCCAATGGCATCATCATGCTTAGCACTTCACGCCTCTTCCCCGTGATCAGAGTGACCTCTGGGACAAAGTGTGACCTCTGCTGGTAGGCTAGTGAAGCCTTTATGATCTGGCCTCTCTGGCTCTCTGATCGCCTCTGCCCTCTGGGATTTTGCTTTTTCGTGGGAGTTCTTTCCTTTCCTAACTTCCTAGCTGGAGTCTTGTGTCTGGGTCCTGTTTTACTGCTTTGCCATGTACAGAGCCTTTGTTACGAGACTCCTCTGAGTGGTGTAGGGGTCTAAATAATGCCCCTCACCTGTGGGGTTGCTCTGCAGCATAAATGGTGAAGAACAGCAAAGTTCTTAACTCAGAGGGAGAGCACAGTATGTAACGCGGTACCCTGGAGGTGACCATCACTGCCGTTCGCTAATCTGAGAATGTTTCCTTTAAAATGATGTTCAGATGACTTTCCCAGGTCGGGGGCGGGGGATCAGCTCTCTATGTCTCCTCAGCCCTCTGCTGTCCCCCAACACAGGCTCTCCATGCCCTGTGTGGTACCCATCTCTCTCTCTAGACAGTGAGCTCTGAGCAGGAAGGGAAGGTGAGGGGTCACCTGGGAGCTCCGATGAGATGGGTGAGCTCCCTGGGACACCATAGTTAGGAGATGGGCTGAGGTAAGGAGAAGGAGCCCAGTGGCCACTTAACGTTGAACCCCACGGGTGGCATTTTGACTTCGTGTGAACTTCTTGCCCCTACCAGAGTCCCCAGGTACATTCCTGCTTTGAGGGTTTGGGTGTAGTTTCCCTGCCACCTTGGATAATTCTCTTCCCTGTTCCTTCTCCTCTGGGTTCCTCGATTTCTGTCCTGAGCATCCTAAAGCCACCTCCTTAGAGAGGACTTCCTGAATTACCCAGCCTGACTCAGGATCTCTGGTTTCTGGCTCCTCCCCCTCCAGCTTCTCTTCTCACTTACCTCTTCCTGCTCCTCCTTCTCCCCTTCCTCCCCTACTCCTCCCCTCCTCTTTCTCCTTTGCTGTTTCTCTCCCCACTTCCTTCCATTCTCATCTCTTCCCACACAGGATGATCCTAACTCATGTCTCTCTACAGATGCAGAGATTTCATTTCTGTTTTCCCAGAGGCAGAGTCAGCTCCCCAAGAAGCGGGCAGGGTTTGTCTCTTTTGCCATTACTCTAAACCCTGGCCTCTGGACACATGCTGAGCATGCAGTAGGTGACAGGTACCGGTCCCTGCAGTGAACTGGACATATGTGGGCTCTTACTTCCTGAGGATTTCCATCTTGTCTTGTAGGCAGAAGCCAGCCTCCTGGGCTACGCTGTAGAACTTGGCCCGCATGGTGTTACACACCCCGGTCTTGCAGTAGATGATGTCACGGTTAGCTCGGCTGTTGACAAGAGAACAGTTGGGGAACAGGGCCCAGTGGATACTCCTGGTCCCATTGGCCTCCCCCAGCCCAAGATGCCCCAAAGTGGGAACTGCTGGTGTCCAACCAGGCTCTTCCTTTACACAGTGAGCAGCCTCCCCCAGCATCCCCTTAGAAGGCTGGGAGAATGGGAGGTACCCAGGCCTTATACGTGAGTCTACAGTGAGGCAGCTTCCACGGGAGCCCAGCAAAGGCAAGGGCAGTGGGCTCTACCTCCATCTCTACCCCATCTCAGCTGCATGGCCTCAGGTGGGACACTGCACGTGGCTGACTCTCTGCCTGTTGCTGTGTAAAATGAGACAGTGCTCCCGAGAGGCAGGAGACCTGGGGACTACACAAGTCCACGCCAGTAGGATGCAGCCCGTGCACTGCCAAGGGATCACATGTCACTTTCTATAGTGCCTGGTCTGTGAGACCCGTCTCCCTCTGTCCTGTCTATGGGTTCGGGGAACCTGGTCTGCACTGAGCTATGCCCATGGTCCCGAGAGACAGAGGATGTCGTTACTACAGTGAGGTCTGCCTCTGGCCCACTCAGTCCACTTCCCCACCTGGCTTACCTCTTTGACTTCTTCTGGGTCACCTGGATGTGGCTTTCTCCACTCGTAGTGCTGGATCGCTCGCTGAAACACCAAGGGGGGGCAGTTTCTAGTTGTTTCCATAAGAGGTCCCTCTGTGGCCCTCCTGGCATGTGTTAGGGCCCCAGAATTCAGGCACAGTGGAGACTCTTAATCTGGGCACCAGGGTCCAGCGCCCATCGGTGCGATCCATCTCCAGTCTTGGACCTTGTTCCTGTCACGCTTTCTGCCTGGAGTGTCCCCCTCACCCGCTTTCCTCCATCTCTACAGTAGTTGTTTTGTCTTGTGGTCCATAGTGAGCCCTCACCCTCAGACTTCTCACCTTTGACCTTTTGCCTCAGCATGGTGTTGGGACAAAATGCATCTTCATAGGTGCATGCTGGTAAAGGGGCGGCAGAGACTCCACCCCCACCCAACCCTACGCCACCTTTGGTGTTCTTCCCTGCAGACTCAGTTTATTCATGGAGATGCTTTTCTAAGCCCGGTCCCCAGGACGGCTAATCCAGGTTGTCAACTTGACCACACCTGGAATGAGCTATAGCCGAAGCAGCCGGGCACTCAGGGGAGGGCTTTTACTTGATTGGTTCACTTGAGGTAGGAGGACCCACCTTAAACTTACACCACACCTCCTGGTGACATGCTATGGAGACGGAAGAAGGAAGCCTGCTTGCCCTTACCCTTTCTGGCAAGTTCATCTATCCTGCTGCAGGGGCATTCCCTTCACTGCAAATAGAACTCACTTCCTCAGGATTCCAACACGGACTGGGGACAAGCCGAGACCTCCAGCCTTGTAGACTGAACATGTACTGGATTCTTGGCCTTTCCTTAGGGAGATGGCTGACCACAGCCTAAGTCACTCTAATATGCCCTCACCCCCCCCCCCAGCCCTTTAGGATACAGCTTTTGACTCTTTCTAGTTGTGGAGCAATTAGGACCCCATCCTGCAGGTCTCAGCTTAAATACTAAGCTCAGCGGAGGTCACGACCTTGGTGGCCAATGGAATTCCCGCCCCTCCTCCATTTTTTTCTAGAATACTTTCCATGGCCACGGCTCTGTGGCCAATCATGGTGCTATTCAAGGGATGCCTGTTACGTCCTCAATTCTCAACTATAGAAAGAATTCAGGGATCCCTGGAGACACACTGTTAGCATTCCTTCTAGGCTCCACCCCACCGCTACCTGGCAACAGCCAGGTGTGCCTGACTCAGTATAAAAGGGCTGCTCATTCCCTTCTCTCTCTCTTACTCTCTTACCCTCTCTGTCCCTTCTCTCCCCATCCCCCCCAACTCCACGTGTTCATGGTGAGCCTCTACTCCTCTCTCTCTCTCTCTCTCTCTCTCTCTCTCTCTCTCTCTCTCTCCTGTCTTCCCAACTCCCCCTCCCCATGCCCAAAATAAACTTTACACTATACTATACCCATTGTGTGGCTGGTCCCTCAGGAGGAAGGGGTGCTTCAGCACGGGCCCACAGACACCCCTTACCGCGCTTCCACCAAACAGATTCCTGGTTCTTGCTTTTCATATACATATATATATAATACAGTACAGACAGAGAAGAAAACTTGCACGTCTGTTTACCTATCCTTTCACTGAGGAGGGAATGATGGACAATTGGATATCTCATGACAGTGGTGGGAGGCTGTCTCCAGAACCGTTCCTGCTCAGTGCTAATCCAAAATCAGTGCTTGTTAGACCCGCTGTGAAGGCTTACTCTATAATTCAGGGCTGAGGAAGCTCAGAGAATGCTCCAAATTGGGAAGCAAAGTAATCCAGCAACCTGTATCACCCTTGACGCCTTTGGAATCCTAATCTATTGCCAGCATTTATGACATCCTTCTGAGGGATCTCCATCGGCTTCCTTGGACTTGCTAAGGGCCCAAGGTACAAGGACGTCCCGGTCGGATGTCCGAGCATACAGTGTACTGGTGCCATCTGCTTACTGAAGCTTCCAGACCTAGTACAGCTCCTGACCCACAGAGGGGACCCAGGAAGGTTCCAATCAGGGGGACCGACTCCGTGTCACATGACAGACTACTCCAGGAAAGGCAAGAGGTAAACTCCACTCAAAGTAAGGTCCTCTAGGCCTATGTGTATTTGCCCCACGGTATCAGGCTGCAGATCTCGGGTAGGCAAGATGAAATTTCATTTTAAAATAGAAGGCAAGGAGTCACGTGGCATGCTCTCTCAGCTGTGTCTCTTCATGGGTGGGAGAGTTCAGTGGAACTCATGGGATTGAGATGTCGGGGAGAAGTGTCTGGATGCTCACTGTCAGCCCCCCCCCCCCCCCGGGGGTGGGGAAAGGAACCTGTTTTCAGTGATGTCAAAAGAAAGGAAAGGTGCTCCTCCCAGACCTTCTCCCTGGGCATCTGTGTGGTAGTCCTCAGACAGGACTGGCATTCCCCCTTCCTTGTCTCTGTGCCCCGCCTACACCCCCTTCCTTGCCTCTGTGCCCCGCCCACACCCCCTGCCTGCCTCTGCGCCCCGCCCACAGCCCCACCCCATTCGCCCCCAGCTGCTGCAGGTTTCAGAATTTCCTACCTGGACTTGTGTGTAGTCTGCCATTCCTTCCACCCGTACTCACTCTTGATTTGCTTGACTAAAGACAGGATGCTGCAAAGCAAGAAGAAGCTTTTAACGAAGTGTCAGATGCCAGTTGCCCGGTAGCAGCCGGTGTCAAGGGCGGGACCAGATGCCTCCTCCCCAGTGAGCTACAGAGGAGGCGCAGTGGAGGGAATGCTTAGGGGGTTTGCTGAGAACACAGATTCTGGGCCACACGTCCAGAGATTTGCTGGGCCAAGGACTCCCTCCCTTCCCTAGAGTCACACACCAAAGGCCAGGGTGATCCACCCCCTTTAGAGAATTGCAGAATCCCAGAAACACACACATAGATACTGGACAACTGCACCTAACTCCGGAACTCACAGCCAACTTACACACACACACACACACACACACACCACACACGCACACCACACACACCACACAATTATATACACATTTCTAGAATTAAAAAGGTACCTAGAATTTTACATACACAACAGGAATTATACACAAATGTATAGACAGATGGGACATTTGTAAAGCACACCCAGAATTCCACATTTACCTAGAATCATACACTTACCCCAAATCACACACACACCTAGAATCACACACACACACACACCTAGAATCACACACACTCACCTAGAATCACACACTCACCTAGAATCACACACTCACCTAGAATCACACACACACACCCCTAGAATCACACACTCACCTAGAATCACACACACACACCCCTAGAATCACACACTCACCTAGAATCACACACTCACCTAGAATTCTACACTCACCTAGAATCCCACACTCACCTAGAGTTCCACTCACACCTAGAATTCCACACCTATAGAGTCTCAATGCTTCTGTAAGTCCCCCCCCCCCAATATGAGCATCTATACAGAAGCCCAGAACTACATTCCCCATGGAATGCTATACTCAGTCGAATTGCCAGGGCTTGGAGACAGAGCCCACTTGAAGGGCTTACTGGAAACCAGAGCTGCTTTGGGGGTTCTGCCTTGGTAGGTCTGAGATGAAGTCTAGATGCCGGTGTCTCCCCAAACACACGGTTCTGGTCCCTAGCATCATGTAGAAGCCATCAGTACATGTGACAAAGAAGCCATCTTCCTACAGCCTTGGGGCTGGGCTTTGGTGGGGCAGGTTTTTTAGAGAGGTCTCTGTGAACCTCTCAGCCTGTCAGCTGACCTCAGGTGCTGTGTGAAACGAGGGAAGCCAAGGCTTTTCTTGTCCCTGTGAATCTCATAGAAGCTTCAGTATCCGATGCTTTACTGGGTTGGTGAGATTTCACTTTTTTCCGAGAAAGAATTAACAAGGAAGGGCGATTTCTACTGTTTCTCTGTAGCTGTGGGTATCATCGATTCAAATGCAGAGTCCATGTGAAAGATTTCTCCAGGGTCAGGTGCTTCATGAACCACATGGGAGTCATCATGGATGTTCAACATCTGTGAGGTGAGCTGTGCTGGGTAGGTTTTATTATATTATATTATATTATATTATATTATATTATATTATATTATA